TCCTAGTAGCAACAAACGTCCACCATTAGGCCTGAAGTCTGGTAGTACCGATCGAGCACAAATGATGCTGCCTCACAAACGAAATTGTTGTGTTATCAGTCTGCTGCTACCGTAACAGCGCTTGTCTGTAACCAGATATTGTTACTTGACTTTCGAAGAAGCTGCTGCTGGTTTGAGTAGCTGCAATTTGTTGTGTTTCTCGTTATGCATCTCTGAGTGTGTAACCGTAACGATTGTGTTTAGTGTTGTGCACTGCCACAGTGCCTTGCCGCTGCTCACAGTTGCTGTGAGCATAGTCTCAGTTGAGTTTGTCGTACTTCGATCGCACTTCATATAGAGCACAGGGGTGTGCTTTATTTGAATGCAGTCCATTTTGGTTGCGTAGCGAAAGATTGATCAGAGGAAACGAAGTCGCGGCTTGAAGGTGTGATCTGACTTCTGTAAAAGGAGTCACTTCAACAGCTTGGAGGTCGAGCGTTGTTATTATGTGCATTAACTTTCATTCGGTCATCTTTGCTACGTCTTGGCCACCATTGCCGGATCACCACTGAAAACTTGAAAGCTAGGTCAATGGATAATTTGATTATTAACACAAATATTTTTATGACTTCAGTAAACTTGCTGTAAAAATATTAGAACAATAACAAACTCGTATCAATTGTTGTACCTTGCAATCCTCTAAAATCAAAAGCTCAAAGAGCATAACTTTTGAGATTTTTCGGTTCATATTTCAATTTGTTTTTTTTTTGGTACCATATTTTGATCCCTCTCGACATCGATTAGAAAATCCTGTAAGTCTTTCACTCCTCGAATACAATGTTATTTTACACCAAGCAAATTTTACCTCCTCGAACCATAACAATAGAGTGCTCTTCTAAATTATGGCCTTCTCCTGAAATAACCTCATGCATGATGGATGACTCCAATCAGGAAGTCGCCCGATATCATCCAGTTACGACTCTGGCGAGTCTCTTCGAGTGTCTCCAACCACTCTGGCCAGATCTTTCTGCTCGAGCGAGCCTCTACGAAGAAATGTGGCTCGAAAGAGTGAGCTGGGAGTTTGGATTTCGAAACCTGGTTTCCAGCCATTACGTGTTTTTCTTTAGGATTTGCCTGCTATAGCAAAGACCTTAGCCGGGGCTAAGCTTGAATTTGGCAGCATACCATAGCCAAAGAATGACAAAGTATACATGACAATCTAGCTATGCAATGGCGCTTCAATCTGCTATGTGATAGTAATTGGCGAGACCGCATTCGCAATAACATCATTTCGATTGGTTAATCTCCAAATAATAAAAACTACCCAATAATAAATAAGAAAAAAAAAAAAAAAAAAGTTTTTAACTCTACCTCCTCCAACCATAATAATAAAGTGCTCTTGTAAATTATGGCCTTCTCCCGGAATGTATGCAATAAACTCATTACGATTGGTTAATCTCCAAATAATGGGAACTACCCAATAAAAAAAAAAAAAAACAATAAACAAGAAAGATATTACACGCAAATATAACAATTACACGCGAATATAACAATTTGTTCCATTGAACCCTCTGTGTTTTGTAACAACTAGGAATACCAAAACACCAAATTTGATAACTGAAAAAAAGCAAGCCATGAAACTTCCACACCTTCGCTGATTACATAAGTCCTCTCCGCACCATACGAGATAGTCACCTATCATACGACTCTCCAACTCATCTTACGATTATGGTAGATAAATATTTATGGATATAGACCCCTTTCTCCATGAAGTGGGCAACGTTGAGTGCAACCTTATTATCAAACGTTCTTCGATCCCTTCCCCAATTCAAATAATTAAATGAAATTATTCATTCAATCATGAAATTATTCATTCAATTAATTTACAACGCAGGTGCGCATCAAAACACCAAGGCTCTCTCACACGAGTTCAATTGTCCCCTCTTGTATCTCGAGAGTCTGAAACCCCTACTTCTGCCTTTCTTACTTCAAGTCTAAGTTTTTTGCCGTGACAAGATCTTGTGAGAGGTCCACCCTCTGACTGTTGGAGCCTCTGATTGTTGGAGCTCTGTCCAGACCGAGGCGAGATTCTGGAGGAAGGAAACTGTTAGATAATCATCTTTGCCTTGTGAGAGCCCATTACACCCCTATCTACATACATCACTCTAGTACGGTTAAAATGAATATGCTCAACTAGTCTTATTGCTTGGAATTCAAACTGAAAGGGACGGACTGCGGGAAGGTGGGAGGAAGGTTGTCTTCATTAAGATTGTGGATCACTGCTTGGAATTCAAACTGAAAGGGACGGACTGCGGGAAGGTGGGAGGAAGGTTGTCTTCATTAAGATTGTGGATCACAAAAAGCATCAAGAATGACATTGTTTTTAAGTTGAATGGTCTGGTTATTGTGACTTGGGGGATGCGTGGTTTGTTTTTAAAACAAGCATTTTTTGAAGTTGAATACTCTGGTCTGCGTGTTCTTTTTTAGAGGTTTTTGAACGAACCTTCAACACGTTTCCAAGTTGAATGACCTAGGATTCCCTTCTTGCTTGGGATTTTTTGAAGGTAACGGTCGACTACTGTTAATAAGTTCAACGATCAACTCTTACCGTGTTTCTTTTTGAGGGGGAATCTATGACGAGACTAAGTATTGCCCACATGTGTTTCCCATTGAGACATTTTGTACTCGCCCATCATTGGGCTTGAGCCTACAAACAGTGTCTCGCATGTGTTCCATATGGAATCTGTGTTTCTTTACTACGGCAACATGTGGGCGTTCACTTGTTCCCCTTCTTTCACTGCTAGTTTCATGAATGTGTACAATGACCATTAACTAGTTCGACACTCGCGACATCATCTCCTAATCTCTCGACTAGTTGAATCACAATTGGAGCTCTCAGCTCTAGAGGACGGATTGCATACTAGTTTGATTATTCATCCTCCATTTTCCTTTAAACAACTGTAAAGAGGATTGATGGCGTACTAATTTGATAATTCATTCTTCATTCTAATTGTAAGTAATCTGCACAAAACTACAAAAAGACACCTTCCCGAGCAGGTGTGGACCACCACAACACTTGAGATGTGCAGGTAGCATCAGCCTGAGGAAACACACATCTACTTACCAATTTGGCACGTTGCTCCACTAGATAACTCTAAACACATCCATTCGGGCGCTTGGACCTGAACGTGCCTGGTCCAGAAAGAGTCCAAATGCATGTTATGCAGCGAAGGGCTTAAATACTCTGCCGAGAAGAAACACCACCATAGCCTGGGATCCACAAAGATGAGCACAGAGCTCAAGCATCTCCAGTGGGATAACGTGATTTTTTGTGCAAGACTTTAGGTCAAGGGGGCACAACGCTGAGCTGCACTATCCACATGCACAAAAGACAAAAAACATGGCAGTGAAAGCTTAGTTGATAGAGCATTGGACTTTTAACCTAATGGTCGCAGGTACAAATCCTCCTGCTATAACCATAAGGCCACACAATGGGGTAGACGTGCTTCCAAGTTATTGCGAAAGATTCATTCTCATTTTGTGCATACGGAGAGTAGTGCAGCGAGGCCCTAAATCAGCAAAACTTCTCAAGAACGGGTGAGGATGGCCGAGCGACTGTTGTACCCATGCAAGTCGACAGGATGTTTTCAAACCTCCCACTCCGTCGACATTCATCATATCATATACCTCCGTCACAGCCTCCGACAGCCTACTCTGCCAGAATTTCGTCATATGCCCATGGGATAGTCGTCCAACCAGGTTATTTCTCTGATTACTTGGCGAGATTACTTGGCCCATTTCGAGTCATCCGTCAAGTTCGAGTCATCCGTCAACATGTCCTCGTGTACACATTTGTAGAGAGCGTTCGGTCTCCATCGAGTTTTCAGTCTGAGATCTCAGTCTCTATGGCTTTACAAAATTCGAGGGCCCTCTTCGTATACGGTAAGCACAGTGACAAGTGGGTCTAAGAAGGGTCGTTTTTCGGCGTACTGGTAAACACAGTACTTGTGGGTCTAAGACGAGTGGGTCTAAGAAGGGTCGTATACGGTAAACACAAGTCTCTTGGCCCACTTGATGGGCCGGATTTCCGGAACGGGCAGGTGGGTTTAAACAGTCTCTTATGTGGGTTTAAACACATCTCAGCATGGGCCTCACTCCTCCGTATAGAACAATCCATGCATTCGGACGGAAAGCGTGCGTTCGACCGGGCCCAACAAGTATATCGGGTCCAGAAAGCAAAATTATAAACAACCAGAAGCTCGGCCAGACTCTTTTCCTTGTCGCTGCACGTTAACGGCTGAGACTTCTGGAGGCCACTCTTCCTCGGCCAGTCTTCCTCGGGGCGGTCAACTTAGGGGGAAAAAAAACCGACAAACAACTTTCGTTCCAAGGAAACAAAACGTTCGGTGGGCGGAGGGCAAGGGAGACACAGGAAAACGAGAAGCAATTTGCCCGTTGCAGCGCCAGCATTCATTCTCATCGGAAACGTTACGAGTGGCGCACTGTTTTGGGGCGGGAGGGGGGAGGTGGGAAGAGAGAGAGAGAGAGAGAGAGAGAGTCGGCGAGCAGCAGGGGAGCAACACGACGAACTCGTCGAACTAATAGACATTACGCCTCTCGCTCCACTACTCTCGACATGTGCAACAAATGGAGAGTGAATCATTCCCTTAATCGGATACATTTCCAGAAATCCACGTGCGAGTACAGTCCTCGTGCGAGTATACTGCATCATTTCAGCAAGTAAATCCCCACTCATGACACGTCCAAATGTACAGGCTCTGAGACGACCCCTCCCGTGAGTATACCGAAATCGATATCGCATCTTTCAGAAAGGAGATCCCCACTCATGACACACCGAATCTTCCTACCAAGGCACAGCAACACAGACCTGCCGTTATAAACTTCTTGATTCGCCCGCGTTGACGACTCAGAATGCCACACGGATAGAATTCCAGTTGCACGTGGGAGTACAACGAAGGACACACCCATGTTTGTTCTGGTTCCTCTGAGAGAACATAAAGACTCGTTTTTCATTCGTCGAAAACGATCCTCTCCCACGTGCACCCCGCACGGATATCTCCGGCGGCGAATAAGACGTAGAGCAGATTCTAAGACCAATGAATGCCTAAATACGCCTACTTCGTGGTGAAAGGCAGTTCAATACCCGAGCCGGCACACAGGAAGAATGGACGCGCTCTCATCTAGAAGCAAGCAGGAGACCACTTGCAACATGCACGTTCTGGCAAACATCAAGAAAGCATTATGACGGCCAATGTACCTCAACCAGAGCATAGACAAGTTCTCATCAAAAATATAAACCCCCCTTATATCTTTTTCTTTCGGGGATCAAGTCTCTCTATTTCAGCACTGCAGAAACATTTGTTCTTCCATCAATCATTCTCACCTGCGTTCGCTCTCGCGCGTGCTGAGATACACAACAAGCCGTAACAACAGTCCACAGTCCAGCGCTGAAACGGACGCAAACACCACAAAGGCTTCCGAACGGACGATGTACTTGCTTCCAGAGTATAGAACGTTTACCCGAGAATATGACAGACTATGGTAAAGCATTATAACGCCCAACGTACCTCAACCAGAGCATACACAAGTTCCCATGAAATACAAAAATCTCTTATCTTTTCCTATCAGCGCTGAGAGGGACGCAAACACCACAAAGGCACCCGAACGAACAATGTACGTGCTTCCAGAGCATTGAAAGGTTCCCCGGGAATATGACAAATTACGGTAGGCTGTGTTTTCAGAGCTGAAATGGACGAAGACAAGAGCTGCAATTACGTGAAAGCACATGCAGCTGAAATTACGTCGAAGCACATGCACCCCACATAACAGCGCGGAGCCAGTCATAACGGGAGTCCATACACGAGTTGGTCCATACATTCAACCCAAACAACAGCATATGCTTTGCAGCTTATCAGTTACAAAACTGAAATGACATACAACTATTAACTGCGCGTTTCCGAAGGATGAAGTCTCTATTTCAGCATTGCAGAAACATTTCCTCAATCATTCTCTCATTCTCACCTTCGTTCGGTCTCATGTGTGTGCCGACATACACAACAAGCCGTCAATCCAACGCACGTGTTACGAACAGTCCACAGTCCCCAATGACCACAAACAGAAGACCGACCAAGTCAATTCTTTTGTAAATCCACAATTCTTTCTTAAAAACTAGATATTCCACATCGTCATAAGCTCCTCCAGAACAGACCCTTCTCATGCGCCCTTTCACAGCCAGATAAACACCAGCACCGGCACTTGTCATTCTACCAACTCCCGTCCTCTCCACCTTCTTAGGACCACACACATAGCACTCGACAACGGCCTCCACTGTCGACCAGTCGTTGGATTACCCGCACGTACCGAACTGCAAAATTCCGGCCATGCAAAACCCAGTTTCCAAACGACAGAAATAGATCTACCTTGCAGAGATCTTGGAACGGAAAAAGCAATCTATATCCTATACGAGAGAAAAGGTGAGGAAGGCGCTATATTGCAAAACTGACGGCGCAGTCGCCTCGAGGAAGACGAGCCGACATTGTCTCAGGTCTTGACTATCAGGTACTTAGTTGGACAGAAAATACCGCAGCATGGATGTCTCAAGCGGATTAAGAAGACCTCACTGAAGAGTTCCGTATTGCCAGGCCCGGCAGCTCGACACCACACCACCTTGGACCTCGATATCACGTAGTCTACGCAGTCTATGGCTTACAGATTCAAATCATGGGCAGCACAAGGTCAGGCAGTTCTACCCAAGATAACGAAAGCCCCTTCCCGAATGGAAGGCAACAAAAGGGAACGTGGGAACACGCTCCGCGACAAGAGTCAGGACAGTTAATCGGCAGCAGCACAGGGCTCGTTTCCCCCGAAACAGGGAGGGGCAAGAAACAGTCAATTACGCATCGACCCGCAAAAGCATTCACTCAATCTAAAGATTTTGGCCCTAAAACTTGACAATTTCAAAGAGTCGTAAGCTTCGAGAAAGCAAGCCTGATAGTATGACCTTCTAGGTTGGAAGCGTGTTGGCAGATGAGCGCTTCGAGTGCCTGATCCTCGTTGCTGAAGAGTACAAGGGCTTGCTTCTTGCCATTCGACTCGAAGATCTTCGCACCAACGATCGTTCCGTGAGGACTCAAATGGTTGATGATCTGTTCACTGGTGATTTCCTGCGGCAAGCTCGATACGTGAATCATTCGCGTCGGGGGTGTGCAGTGGCGGTAGTTCTTCGCAGCGTTGCGGTTGAACCGGTTGAGGTTTGAAGTCGAGTAGTCCCGGGAGTCTGGGGAAGGATTGATCTGGGCATGCTTCGAGAAATTGACGTCCAGTCGCTTGCCAAAAAGGGTGATACCTTGCTGCAAGGACAAAAACCAGTCGCCGAGCACAATACCGATTAGAGCTCCCCCTTCACGAAAACAACAACCGACAACCCTCAAACGCCCAAACCACCTGACTTGAGCAACCACATTCGGCAACAAACATCCTTAGGACGTACTCAACCGTCATCGCAGTCAGATTCAAGAACACGCAATGAGAATACTCGTTCACCCGAATAGAACGCCTGGTCATGGTAACGTTATTTGTGGCAACTTTCAGTCTATATACATCGGTTGTCACCACGCATTATTTGGCTTCAGAAGACAACAAACGAATACAAGCTAATTAACCAATGTCAAATTAAACTCTTCAATAAAGACCGGACACTCTATGCATGAATTGGTAAATCTGACTACGACTCTAGAAGGAAACTAACGAATACAAGCAAATTAACCGAGCTCAGAATCGAGATATCAAGTTGATTTTTAGAAAAAAGACCGGACAGTCTAGTCGTAAATCATGTTCTCTCAACCATTCACTCGTATTGTTATTCCTAAAAATAAGATCCTATTCACTAACAGAACAGAGTGGATTTACCCTATTATTCAATGATATGATCCAAAAACGAAGTGATATCAGAACATAACATTCTAGACTTTTCTATTTTAGAGCCTTCATTTATCATATCCCATGCATGAAACTTGGGAACATAGATTAAGACAGAGCAGCATAGCTCACCTTCAGATACGTTACGGCCAATTCTGCCTGGAAACCATCACCCATCTGAATGAGCGCATGATCAGGTTTGTTATGAAGCATCTTGACGCGGAGCACATTGCCGTAGTTCGAGAAGAGATTGAAAAGCTTGTCGGGATCCACTTTCTGCCGAAGTCAAAAAGAACAAACAGAAACAGAGATCGTTAGCGCGGACACTACTTAGTCCCCTTACACGCAAGTTCTCCCACTTGACAAAACATATATCACATTCTGCTTGTCAAGAAATCGGTCTTCAATGCGTGATGATATTCGGTGACAAGCAGGAAATATCACGAAATACCCATTCACAGAAGAGGTCGTTCGAATAGAGCTACCGGATTCAGATACAAACTGCACATTGCAACTGTGGAATACAGAGTACTTAGGACATACACCATAGATGTAACATATCAATATCTTTTAGAAGGGCAAATACATCCAACTAATACGGTAGGCGACAGACTCGAATGGCAAAAAGCCAAAAGAAGACAAACACGGAACACATTACTTTCGTCACAAGATATCACAATGCCACGCTCGTCTACCTTTGCGCTCATCCCTGCTTTATGGTACCGCCGCTACCGCGTGATAAACGAGAAATACCCCGTGATCACCGTTCCCAACACAGGTCCATTCAATAAATCAACCAGATAAAAGAGGAAAACCATCGAGATTCAAATACTCACTAAATCACAGACTTACCTCGGCATTCAGATTAGACGCAAGGATAACAGAGCGATCGTTCGTGCCCGTGATACCAGGGGGAAGCCCTCCGATCGCCGCAACAGCCGCCGCACTCGTCAAGCCCGGCATCTGCAGAATAAAGTCGAAAAAGACACCGTGTCAACGGACACTAACAAACATCGTTTGCTTATTATCCTCTGTGACCTGATGGACCACGGATCAGATACGAAACTGATCAGAACAGATACTGCACTCGGATCTCAGCCAAAAGGCCGAAGCCCGGGATCTACATACTAAAGAGATTCTACCCGCGTCAACGGACACAAAAAACACCGTGCCAAGCCGGGCATCTGCACAGGAGAAAGGAATACCAAGAGACACCACGTCGACGCCCACAGAAATATAGAAATAATTCACATTCAAAGAGTCATGCTCATCTCCCATTCTGTCACACCATCCAACGCTGTTTGTCGGTTTAATACTCAAACGGCGCTTGTCCATACACGCGCCAAACAACGATTTATAATAGAGATCACATACGCTATCGTACGGGGATGCGTTCACCGACGTTTTGCCCGATACTCCCATCACATCACCTCGAAGCAGCTCCACTTCAATCAACTCGTCAATATAATACCAAAACCGCAACACACAAATCTATACACCTGCTACATAACCACGGAACGTTCTGTACTTCCCATTTCAAAAACGAATAGTAAACCATAGTTCAAGGATGACCTTCACCAACCTGATAGGGGCCGAGTCCCATCCCCGGACCTGGACCTGCATTCTGCTGGAAACCTGCGGTGTCACAACATACACAGCCACCGAGCAAAACGATTAGCATTAACCCACTCATCCTATACCCGATGACGATTTGACTTTCAACAAAGGTATATGTAACAAACAACTTTCCAAATTGGGAAACAAGAAATGATAAGGTACTATACGCCGCATCCTCCCACCACACTTCTGACGACTTCATCCCACCGCAGTACGCCGCATATCCTCCCACCACAATACGCCGCCTCCTCCCACGACCGTATCAGTATGATTAACCAGCAGCTTATTTAAAATTGTTCGAAGGCTACTTGCCTGGACGCGGGCCTTGAGGGGGCATCCCGTACACGTTCCCACCTTCACCGAAGAGTGACGACTGCAAACAAAACACAACAGGCGCAATCGTTAGCTTTCCACCAGAATGTCTGCAAACCTCCACAAACAGTAAAGAAAAGAACCGCCAGAACGAGCGCTTGACTACTGCAGACCATAGTCAGGAACAGAGATACGGGTGGGAAGGAAAAGAGATACGAGACAATTTGCCACCTCTGCCGCGGAGCGTTGGCAGCAAACAAAACACAGCAATGGCATTCATCAACGATCCATCTGAAATTCTGCTAACCTCGAAATCAGCAAAAAACAAGGGAACCGCAAGAACGAGTGCTTTGCGGTTCAATAATATAATCATCAAAATACATACTGTTCGCGACACAGCATTTAACGAGGAAGACCTGAACCAGAAACCTGGCTCTGATACCAACTGATACCAAACAAGCAACACAAACACACCATTTAGTGAATAAGAACTGAACCAGAAACCTGGCTCTGATTCCAACTGATACCAAACAAACAACACAAGGCCAAAAAACACTGCTAATCATCCACACAAACAAGAAATCGTACGCAACACAAAAAGCGACAAGAACTCATATGTCACACATCATCTTACCATAATGTTGTTGTTTCCAGCAACACCACCGCGAGGCCCTTGTTCGCTAGGGAGACCGGCATTTGTGTAGTCCCTGAAAATCGATCGAAGACCAAAAAATGCCCACGCACATGAGGATTGGAAACAGAAAAACCAAGACATATCTTGACACTGAAACAGATCAGAGACCGTGAGATGTCCGCACGAATGAAGATTGGAAAGAGAAAAACCGAAACAGATCTTAAAACCGAAACATATCTATAACCGAGACACGTCACACAAATGACGATTGAAGACAGAGATCTTAAACCTGAAACTGAAACACACAACTCTACAGATCCATTTTCAAGACTAACATGCACTCGCAAAGCCAATCCCACAACGGAATGCAGAGGCGATGGAAACTACTAACCTGGTTCTCTCATTGTTGTAATTCACCTGCAGCTCCTGGAGGCTGTAGGTGCAGAACAGACGCGCAAAAACAATAACGTGACATACGTCAGCGACGTATCCAGTGTAAACAATATCAACCACCTCAGGTCTCCAACGTCTAGCAACGTGCCCGCAAATGCAGGCGATGGAAAATGCCCCAATAACAAACTACGAAAGGGTACGGATGCATATAAATGCATCCTATAGTGCACTAAAAATGCCACAATAACAAACTACTCCAGAGACTTCCACCGCCTTCACAGCTGACTGAGGGCAAATCGCTTTAATTATAGAAAACAACGTTGGAGGATACAGTACAGAGCAAGGAAAGCACATCGACCGAGACTCCGTTAGTAGTGGCACGCGAACGCGGACAAGTCTCTAAATACCATCCATCCCAGCACAATAGAAAAGATTGGAAAGCCTTGCCAGAGAAGTTGGTAGCCCTGTATATTCGTCCAACAATTTTCATTTCAGGCAGTAAATCGCTCGCCGTCAGAGAAACACACCATCAAACGACAATTTCTATACAATCCATTCCAGCATGCTCAAAGAAGGATGCCGATACTGCTAAAAGAGGAGCTCCAATAGAGATTTTCAGACACCCGAATACGAACACAGCACAAGTCTTTCCATCACACATAACCACCTCTCACTGATCTACCCTAATACACAAGCAACAACCATAAACAGTTGGCAGCGATACTTACTTGGAGTACTGGATGTCCAGCGTGCAGCACCCATCATAAATGTTCCGTCCCTGCAGCGTAACAGAATTGTGATAAGCCGTTAGATCTCAAGAGCCATCATCTGATTCACAGACCTGCATCATCTGTGTCTCGTCGCTGTAGGGTACGACCTCAATTGCCACAATCACAACCACGTTTTAAACGAACCAAATCCTCATTCTCGAGATCGTTCGCTCCCCTAACCACAGACGCCGACCAGGGGACTCGTCATGCACACACACGAAGCGGACGTGACTGCGATAACAGGATGTGAAAGTGTTAGCAGCTATCCACAACAAGAAGCTTGTTAGAGTACCGTTACCCTCCAGTGCGCAAAAGAACATATCCTTCCACTCAGCTGGAGAGCAGTCGAGACTCGTCGTGCTAGAGAACACCATCATCCAATATTAACTCGAAATGCACACGACAGAATGTGTAATGCTCTACACAGCCTTCGACCATCAAACGAGTGACAGAATGCATACACTATAAGAGTAGAAACTTTACACTATAAGAGTAGAAACTTTAGACAAAATTGTCGCCACCTCACCTGCAGGGCTGTCCTCGCAGAGATAGCACTAGCTTGGTTGCTGTACTGCAGAAGGGCTTGAAGACCTGCATGATTGGATCACAGACTCCCACGTTGAGCGCGCGGTTAAGATTAAACGTGAAACAACAAATCCACCAGCGACTAGCGACATCAACGTCACGGTATCAATACCTTCATCAAGCAGCAATTCATATTCCAAAAATTACTTCGATGACTTCGATCAGTAGGGCTTTACCCTAACAACCTATTCATTCTCAGACGTGAGACAACAGCTTACGTTAACACTCGTCCATCTACAATTAAAGACGATGCATATCAATTTGACGAAGCAACATCGCCGGCTTCTTCCGAGAAATAAGTGAAAGAATTGTTTAGGTACATCTACGTTTGGTCGTTGCCTTTCGTTTCCGTGCAAGAACTAATCTACCCAAAAGACGTCTGGCGGACGTGTTGGGTACTATTTATAACAAGAAAGAAAGGTGTCACAAAATCAAATAGGTCATTAGATTCGAGTAGAGAAGTGTTACTGATGTTGTGAGAATCAAGAAATAAATAGGAAAAGGTTTGGAAGGGGGAGCTTACAAAGAGTGTGGTTCACACGACGTGAGAAACAGACAGACAACACGTGTCACTGAAAATGGCATGAAAAATTACGTGCGCAGAATAAGACAAGGTTGAAATCCCACCAGGAGTAACCCGTGTGGGAAGGAAAGTCGTAGGAAGGTACAGACCATGAGCACAATAAAGGTGAATGCAGGTAAACATCACCGAACTTCGAGAAACGCCTAGAAAATTGATCAGACTAGGACAAGGTTGAAAGAAAGGAACGTATAGAGACCATGAGTAAAATAATGGTGCATGCAGGTAAACATCACCGAACTTCGAGAGACGCCCAGACAAATTAAATCAGACGACATTGCCTAACTTGAATATCAATGAGTGAAAAAAAAAGCCTTGCGGACTGCTCACACCCGAGAGAAAGTAAGTTTTGCACTCGGCCCGAGGAGGTTTTGAAGTCGAAGAACATCCACACATTGCAAAGGCAGGAAGAAAGGCAAAAGAGAGACTCAAGGGAGACCAGGAGCACAGGTTAGTAGGGGTGACACTCTTAAGGCATTACCACGCCTCGTAGGAACCGGATAAGCCACACGATACACATGTTACTCTCGGACTATGCCCACCACAAAGAATGACAGGAGAAGGTTTATTTCATTGTCACTCGAACGGACAGGAGACGAGTGCATGAACGGACTTTTAATCGCAACGCACCTAAAACGCGTTCCAACACGGAGAGCGCATTTTCGGCCTTCGCGGATGGGACAGTCCGTAGTGCTTCATACAAACGAGTGGATGACTTCTCTGGATATTTACCCAAAGCAGACTGTTCCGCTGTTCCAGAGAGCAAGAAACAAGAAACCACCGCATATTCCACACCCACATTCAACCACCATCCGCTCGTCTATTATCGCAAGTGCCCTGAATCAAGAAAGACATCAAGCTCTTCAATTGCTCATTTCTTTGAGTTCTTTCCCTAAGTAAAGCAACCCCTGTGAGTTGTGCAATAGAAAACAGACATTCGAAGAGCAGCAACTGCAACATCACGCTAAGGAGCAGCCCTCAACAGATACTCAAATTCCCCGTCTCTTTGTGCTACAGACTGTGCTACAGACCCCCACCCACACAACAGACGAGTTCCAAAAGGCCTAAAATACCAAGATGGTGGGAGGAGAACCAGAAGGCGTGGGCATCCCAGCGGGGGGTCGTGAGGGCTTAAGAGACTAAAGAGCTTGCTCGAAGCAAAACGACCTGTGTGCCGTTCTCCGCGATCCGAATGAGATCCACAGGCCTCGTGTTATGTTCTCTTACACGTCTACTCCCAGCCCAAGCTTAAAATCGAGTCGACAAAAGATTCCCTCTACAGTCAAAACCGGTTCCCAACAAGCGATAGTGATTTATGAACACAGACCGAAAAATCACAATCACTTTCACGATCAATCATTTGAATTTCATAAAGCTTGCAGTTCAATCTTCTCGAGTCCATAAAGCATTGAGATATCACAACGCCGCGACGGGAGGATCCCCCACATTCTATTATGATCTGATGTGACACATTACTTCAGGCCAAGACAAGAACCTTCCAAAGGAGAAGACCCCCAGACGAAAGACACCAGTAAGCGCAATAGGAACGAGAACTCGAAGAACTTGGCTAAAATTCACTTTCTCATCAAGTAGCCGTACGCAACCTAAACTACATAGAACTTTCCTAAAATTAACTTTCCTATCGAGTAGCCGTACGCAACCTGAACTACATAACCCTTGCACAATAACTTCAGCGACCTAGATTAACATTACACGTGACCCTATGGAATTACAGATCTCTGATGCCATTGCAAATACCGTACAAAAAGATCCGTCGAACAGAACTCCCGACCTACAATGCTAGTGATAGAAACACGCCTTGCCCATAAACCCACTCCACTTTTTCCGGTTGCCAATCTCCAATAGAAAAGATACACTCGACCATAAGAAGCGACGAAAGGATAACGCTTACATCAAGGAGAAGAGAATCAGCAGCCCACCAGCGTAACGTCGAGGCTTACGGGCGCCCAGTACATAGAGATCGTCTAATCTGAATACGAACTGGTCATACATTGACCAGAAGCATTGCTGCATTGCTTTTCGTCATAAGGACCTGTAAGGATGCTTTGTTCGCCTTAAGGATGTTCCGTTCGATTTACGATCTAAGAGTACACTAACGACACATTTTTTCGATTTGCGGACAGATCTAAAAGTATACTGTTCGACTTGAAGACCTAAAGGACTCTTCGTTTCGAAGTGCGGACCTACAAGGACAGTTCTGTTCGATTTACGGACCTATAACGATACTGTTGTTCGATTTGCGGAAGGACACTTTTGTTCGATTTACGGACGTATAAGAATCCTTTCGTTCGATTTAAGGAAATTTTGTTCGCCTTCCAGACCTGTAAAAGTACTCCAATTGATCCTCTAAATTTGCCAGTTCATAGAAGTGAGAAATCGTAAAACATGACATCGATTCCGCCTCCGATTTGATTTCCTCAGGCAAATCTTCTCAGACGAGCACGATCAAATAAGACCCACCTATTGACCAATCAACAGAGAGACGCAATCGATTACGTTTCATCCATACACAATATACATACTCGTCCATAGTCGACCATTCATATCGAGCAAACACAGCGAGAAGACCGACGTGCTTTGTTCGCCGTACCGGACCGGGCGGATATAGAGATACTCCAAATAATCACGTAAACTTCGTATTACCTAAAATTTAGAGATCGTTAACACGAGACCCCTCTGAATATAAGGTGACCATGTCTCCCCCTCCCAGTTTCTGTGACGGACAACCAACTACTGATCAAACAGGAAGCGACGCAAGAAATATCTTTAATCCCCAGCAAGAAATGACCATCCCTTTCACATGCATAAATGTGGTCTGCGCATCGTGCATCGTCGACCATTCAGCTAAAGAAAACGCAGCAAAGAAATGCAACAGACCACTATTCACCTCATACAAGCGACCAACCGGTTCGCGGTCGCTACTGAGACACTCAGAACAAGACTCACTCAAGACTCGAGGGAATATAAGGAAAAACTCAGAACCTCGAACAGAATCTTCGATTTTAATCCACAGAGCCAAGAAACATTTAGGGTCAACTTGCAGCCCGAGAATAGAGAACGTTAAGAAACACAGAAACGCGATGCCTTTTGTGCTTTCTGAGCGCTACAGGACATCCAGAATTTAGTGGACCTAAGAAAACAAAAATGAACGAAAGAAACCGAGTACAAGACCAATTCACGGCGCGAAAGCAGCCCAACAGGGTGATTGGGGGAGGGAGAGGGGGGGAAGGGGGTCGAGAGAGTAAAGAGTTCGAAAGGTGAATAGAGAGTTGGAAGAGAAGACACGCCTACCTCGCTAGAAGCAAAGAAACTAAGGAAAATCGATACAAAAGAAAAGAGATGAGAAAAGAGGCTGACCAGCTGATTTCTGGAAGCAGACGATCTTCTCGACATAGCCATGAGGGGAAAACACTTGATGGAGCACATCCACGGTGATAGGATAGAGCGGATTGTGGATGGTTATAAGAAGAATACGATTAGGCTGTTGCTCCTGGGGAAAAGACAGCAGCAGAGAAGACACAGAGTAGAAGAAGACAACACCGTTCAGAGTAAAGAAACTGAAGCAAATTTGGACCATTCCATAAATCTCGACAAAAGAAGCGCTTCATCACTTTGCGAAACGGCAACACACTCTCGCCGCCTTACAGGACGAGAAAATAGACAAGCTGTAAGTAAGCAACATCCAAGACAAGACTACAAGACGAGAAACTTAGACAAGATGTGAGTAATAGCATCATCAAGACGATCAGGAAAAAGAAATCCAGGTCCGCAAAATGTCACAGAAGAGCATGAATAGCTGAGATTGACATCCAGATTACAACAGCCACAGAGATTGAAATCCAGATTGAAAAAGCCAGAAAGGTCAGAAAAGCACTAGTACTCGACATTACTAAAGATATTACTCGATCGAGATTCAACACTGCCATACATGAATGAATTCACCCACTGAGGCGTTCAGAACAATGGCCACTTGCAAAAGCGGACGATGAGCTGAACTAGGTAAAACCGGACACAACGCTGCAAAAATACGAAAGCGGGCGACGACGTGGAGGAATCTCAAAAACGGACATTCCTGAGATCATCAACGCTCCCAATGTTGACATTGCAGGTTGCTAGCAATGTTCGGGGACAATTACAAAAAGCCACACTCGACCAGTCATTACGAGACTCTTCCGCGGAATACACTTACAACAAGAAAATCTAATCACCATGACGTGCATCAACAATACGTAACCTAAGAGGCTCACACCACAATTCATACAAAATCACAAAAACTTCACCGACATGGTTATGCCGGGAATCTGGCAAATTAAACGCCGGAAAAGCAACGACAAAGAATCTCTTAAACGACGCTGCTGATAGACCAGAATTCCAATCCAGCATTAGTCATACAAATCAATTCATTGCCCACAGCAAGTCAAACTTACATCCACGACAAATAATTTCAGCAAGAAGAATGCCATCACCACATCAATCGTTGGAGAATTATTATTCTTAAACTCTTCTCATTTAGACGAAAAGCTTTTGCAACACCGGCCAGCGTGAATTAGGGTGCGGACACGCATAGCCATCATGATATTCGTTCAAAGACGAAATCACTGACCTGGTCCGACGAGCGTCTACCACCGGCGCCTGAATCGGTTGTCAATTCTTGGTGAGACGAGAACTGCATGTACACATTCCGTCCCCTGCAAAAACGACCATTTGATCGGTTAACTCGGGCAATAACAAAGCCTGACCACACAATCTGTGCCCCAAAACTGAAGGCACAACCAGCGGCACCGCACTATACGATAACTTAACTATAAGACACAAAACTGCGACAAGCACAAAACGTTAACAAACACTGAAAACGTTCGATCACAGTTCAGACCTGCTCGTACACATTCCCTCCACTGCAAAAACGACCATTTGATCGGTTAACTTAGACAATCACAAAGCCTAACCACACAATCTGTGCCCCAAAACTGAACGCACAACCAGAGCCACTGCACTATACGATACTTAACTGCAAAAAGCACTGAAAACGTTCGAACACAGAATTCAGACCAGCTATTACTGTCTATGTCAACAGCCGATACCACATCCGCATCGTTTTCGGATATCAAATCCATTCGGAACAGTTAAAAAAGCGACTAAACATGTACACATGACAGCCAAAACGTCAGCAAATATAGATACAAACACCAATCCACTGACCAAGTAGCAGGTTACAGAAAAAAGTTCGTCACAATATAAATTCCAGCAACAGAGTCAACCAACTACATCTTCACTCGAATAGAACGCCCGATCATTACAGGGACGGTGACAGGGCGTTCGACTCGGTTGAAGACGGTAGCAGTTTATACATAACTAAATCTTACGTCCACTCACCTGATGTTAGGTTGGACGCCCGTGTAGTACTGCATCATCTGGATAGAGGAAGGTAAATCCTGCATCTGGAGGAGGGCCTGCAAGAAACAGAAACATCGGTACTCAAGAGTCAAAAGAACAGGAACGACAATTGGAAAACAAGACGTGGCGACCCAAACCAACAACATGTACAAGCTTCAACACGAGGTTGAAAAAACAGAAAAACTTTAGTTCCCGCAGCAAACAATTGCCAGATCAAACGCATGCTTACAAACAATCGCAAAGCAAGGTAAGAATACATACCCCGAAAAACCCAACCAGTTACGATGGAATAAAACTGGCCGTCCACACAACACGATAGAGGTAACTCCTAAGAGAAACTCGCATGGAGCCGAAAAAAACACACTTAACCCCGAACAAGAGGAGCTGAATCCAAGTCCCGCTTCTTCTTACAGACAGATATCTCCCTCCACGTGAAAAGACAGGCAGGGAGACGAGAGAGTACACTTCATAGACCGACTCGCCACGAAAGGGTCCTATGTCAATCCGAACTCACGGGACTGACCGCGCATGACAATCGTCATCCATCAGCGGATATACAGCGACCGTCCACGGAAGGAAAAATGGGGGTGGTACAACAACAGACATGGAACACGCAACCTTAAAAGGTAGGTCATGACCGTCAAGTTCTAGAGCCTACCGTCCTCACCCGAATAGAACGCCCGGTCATTATAGCCGTATTTGGTGCACGTTTCAGTCCAGATACAGCTATAATAACCGGGCGTTATATTCGGGTGAAGACGATAGCCGTCGACCGATATGAGCAGTCGTCGGGAGGGAGACGGTGAGGTTTAACGAGTACAACGACAATCAAACTAACGTAACAGATAAGAGGGAATATCTGCAGAGAGCTACCATCAACTCTCATCGTCGTAATGAATTGAGCGGGAAAAACGTGGACCGTCCAGCAAAATGTTGTGCAGAACGGGGAGAGGACCGACCGTCGAGCGATAAAGTGTGGAGAGAACAGTGCAGTAAAAAGCAAGAGGTTGACAGGAGTAAACAACATAGATGGAGAGAGCAACTAGGGGGCGAAAGGGTCGACCATGTAACGGGTAAGCGCCTGTCGACAGGAAAATGGGCCTATCGACAGGGAGATGGGCCTGTCGAAAGGGGGATGGGACCTGAAGCGAGAGAAGAGGCGGAAAGCAACGGTAAGGCGAGAACAACCATCGAGTAAAAGATTGCGCGGAACGGGAAGAGGACCGACCGTCGAGCGATAGAGAACTCTATAGGGAGAAAGAACAGTGCAGTAAAGAGTAGACGGTTGACGTAAGTAAACGGTGCATAGATGGAGAGAGCAACACTGGTGCGATAGCGTAAACCTTAAAAGGGTACCTATCAGCAGGCAGATGAGAGTTGAAACGGGGGGAAGGGAGTGCCGAGGCGGAAAGCAAAGGCAAGGAAAGAACGACATCGGACGGAAGACACGCGGCGAGAACGGAGTCCAGAGGATACGATGGAAAGCAGAGACTGAACCGGAAAGGGGTAATCATCGAGAATCAACGACGAAACGACAAGCTGGAGAGAGAGAGCTCGAAGCTGCGGGTAGGAATATTAAAGAGAAACCCGCCAACCAACCAATCATGACATCGAGTATAGGCACCCTTCAATGACCGAATCACGAGGAAGTTCACCGACTAGTCTTCACCCGAATACAACGTACGGTCATTAACTGTATCTAGACGCGAAGTTGCCCCAAATACAGCTATAATGACGGTACGTTATCACCGGTGAAGACTAGGGAGACCGCAATACCAAGCCGCAATTATTGACAGAGTCCGACAGTCAGCACACAAACCAGACGAGGGCAGTCAAGAGAGAAGGCGACCCTGAAGGCTGCGAAAACAGTCTTAACATCGAACGTTAAAAATGAAAGACCGATAACCACAAAGCGACCGTTAATCAGAGAGAGCGACCGCCAATCTCGGGGTCCGACCGTTAGTGAATGGAGAGCAGCGACGATTAGAAATGTAGGAGAATCTAGGGTTCAAAACTTCGATCCTAGGGATAAACAACGTCTGGTAAATAAGTAACGGCTTTACAAAAGCACGGTAAGCGTTAGCAAGATACCAACCACCATTAACTAGCTGCCTTGCAAGGTCTGAATGCAAATGACGCTCGTCTTAGAGAAATATGCGGAAAGCACGGTAGAGGAGAGCGGACGCCCCACAGTGTAGGAAACACTGGCATTCAATTATTAGCCTCCTACACATTCATTACATGACGCACCTGAGCAGACGCCCGTCTTGAGAACTTTAGACTACAGACCTCGGATTACGAGAAAACCAGGACAATAGGGAGGCCTAGAGTGTTCCCACATCTATTGTTGGTGCCATAGTGACCTTCACGTCTTAGGAATCAGCCTACAGAAAATGACGACGGCTCCAGATAACGAACGCCGTTTTTATACATCGAACAAGTAGATAGATGAGGGCAAGTTCTCAGACATTACGCAAAGGGAAAGCGAGTATGAACTGAAGTCCCAAAACCATAAAAATGCTCACAGCCAACGATCTCCGATGACATTTCCACGCGTTCCGACATTGAGAACTGACTTCAAGATTAGATAAGAATCTATTCTGAACTAAACTACCCTAAACTATGAGTCCCAACTACACACCTGTATCTCGTTAAACTCGAAGGAACTACTCACAATGTGAAACAGCAACAGAACGCCTCAAGACCATCGTCCCCCGGCCAGACTACAAAACACTTTGTCGGAGCTAATTCATCAAAGCAACAGATCTACCTTCCCATGGAGTTAAAACCAACCACATTCGTGCATCAAAAACACAAGCGACGAGGTTAACAGTTCCTTTACCAATAACACACCGATGATCGTCTACAATACAGCCTGACCACTCACTTCACAAAATAAATTCAGTTATTCCAGGGGAAAACACCCTAACAGAGATTTCATTCACATTCACGTTATTAGCTCAGAAAAGTAGGGAAACGAAGTTCAACAGAAAACGCATACCTGATTCTTCGCCCTCAACATGACCACCTTCTGAACCACACCGAAGGTTTGCGCAAGCTGTGAGAGATCTCCCTGCAGACAAAACATTCGACCATTGCGTCAAACATAATTCTACAGTGAAGAACTAACTACAGAATTTCACACTCAGCAGAACACTTGACATATCCGGAGACAGTAGGATCGAATTACAATGCCATGCGAATGGTTTGCGCAAGTTGTATAAGAGATCTCCCTGCAGAAAAGACAAATTGAAGCATTACGTCAAATATAAATCGAGAGTGCAGAACACTAACGACATACAACTTCAAACTCAGCACTTAACCACTCGACATATCCGAAAAATGTAGGAATGCGTTAGCGGGGGGGCCATACGTTGTCCGCTAAATTATCCTTCTATTGGTCATCTAAAACGGAGGACCCTGTTGAGGTGGAGAGTGAAAGCTTCCAGAAGACCCTGATCGAGAGCCAAAAGCAGCAACGAAAACAGCACTGTGAACAACTATAATCTTCCCCCGAATAGAACGTACGATAAGTAATACACATCTGGACTGAAAGTTGCCCGAATTTCAGACGAAATCACCGTACGGTTCTATTCGAGGGAAGAAGCGTAGTCCGACGACAGAGACCGCTTAGACATGCCCACTTCATGATCTCGGAAATCTTCCGAATCAAACCGAAACAGAATGCTTCCTGACAACCTGTACACCGACAACTCCTGGCCACCTCGAAAACAACATACGAAAACAGAGGCTTTCCCACAGTAAAAAGAGAAAACACCCATTAATCAACAGTGTATCAATGCATCGTGATTCGCTATCACCCTAAGCACCAACAATTTCCTAACACCACCAACAGACGAAAAGAAGACGGCTATGATGCAGTGGAAAGGTAAACAACCATCACTCAACATTACATCATTGCATCGCCGGACAAGATTTTCTGACTGCACGGTTTCAATGGTGCCACAGGTACCACGCTGAGAACACAATCCTCTGAACGCTGAAAAGTTATCATTCTCTCGCTGGACATTGCTAACTTGTACTTTCCACTCTTCAAAACCCTCAAACACGGCAGCTGTACCCCACGATTACATCCCAATCGAATCTCCCGCAAGAAATTTCCCGACACGTTCCAAAACAGGCACAGCCACACTCGTATTCTCCTAACGAGTTCTAGGATTCCTAACACATATGGACCTCTATTCCCAGGACTCTGCAGAGTCCTTGGCCGCAAAACGGTTTGTGAGATGGTCACACAAAAACCCAAACCCGCACATCACCGCAGCCAGAAACATATCGCCACAACCGGTAATACTAAAGAGCACACCAACCACCAGATATACAACAACATTAACATAGACGCATACAAAACCCGGGCGGCACTCATATACACCACGTCGGAGACTCACTGCTCCACATTGTAAACGATTGTGACCCACACTGAACAAACGCCGCGGGGAGGACACATCGAGAGCTTTCGTCGACAATACTGCGAGCTATGGCCACAAAACTAATCAAACCAACCGACTACCTTCGTTAATCAGCACGGGAGGAAACAGCAACCACGCACACATTGAGAGCTTTCGACATCCCCCGCTACTGTACTTCAGGAACGAGGTCTAGCCTCATCATAGCGACAGTATCATTAGCACAACGTTCTGCAAAACTTAGGGTAACAATATGCCTGATTCCTGTAGAGAACACCAACCTCGCTGATCTCGGGGCCGACGTTGCGCACATGGATGACCTTCGACGGCTCAGTCATTTTGACAGAGAAAGAAGCGCCAACAAGACTTGCGTTGAGCACCGCAGAACGGCACGGCGAACAGGCTCTGCTAGCTCGCTCGCTCGCTCGCGCCGCCGACGAGAAATGAACCTCACTCCTCCCTCCCTGAAAACGGCGGGAAATATTAGACGCAGAGGAGAGATGGCAACGGAATAGAGAAAGAGCAAGAGAGACGACGAAGGGAAGAGAAAGAAGAGGAAAGAGCACTAAGAGCTTCGCGAAGGAGACAAGAAACAGAAGCAGAGAAAGAGAGAGATAGAGAGAGAAAGAGAGAGAGAGAGAGGGGGGTGGAGAGAACAACCACCTGGGCTCCGCAGTCGATGGCGTGTGCACGAGGTATCTAACAAGTGAAAATACAGCCTTAGTAAAGACGCAACAGGAAGGTCGCCCTTCTGCATCAAAATGTCGGCCCCGCTTGTTCGCCTGCCGCGGTGTAGGGGTGAGGGAAGGGACCACGGTGGCGGCGGGAACAGATTGTGCTCGAGCACCGCGCCACGAGATTTCGAGCACCGAAATGAACCACCGCAACTGTGCACCAAGACCGTGGTGGTCCCACCAGGACGGTCAATTATGGAGCAAAATGGACGGTCCAAACTGCACCACGATGCGTTAACCCGCTCCTGACCGTTGGATGCACTCTAGGAACGGCTTACACCTGAGTGTGGCTCGGGCCCACATCCAGCAGTGCGGTCCTGGACCCACCGACGGTGACGGCGGCCTTGAGATCTCATCGCGGAGCGGACCGGCCCCAGGTAATCAAAAGAATTTCAACTAAGGTAGTGTATTTCACCTGGGTTATAGCACGGGTCTGTAAACGAATCATGTCATGTGTGTGTACCAAATGAGCTGCCAGTAGGCCAGTCGGTGTGACGGCGGTTCTGATTCAACAAGGCAAACGCAGTTTCAGCAAATGGGCTCCAAGACATCGTCAAAGAGCCAGGGCGCCGTTACGGTAGGCTTATTTCTTCAGTGTAAATGTGTCAATAGGATTTGGATGCGAGCTCACGAGCTCTTTTTTTGCACAATTCTCCATTCCGTGCACGGACTGGGTAAATGAAGGTTTCATTTTTCAGTTCAGTAGATCACGGGTGAGTTTGAGCACACGGTCTGCTTACTAACAGGTACAACATGCGGGACGAGGATTTATTTATTTTTTTGCCACTGCGCCGGCGCTATGCTTGCTGCTACTTCCGGCTGTGCCACCCCTTCTGCCGGTAGTGCGAAAGACAGGCCCAATTGGCTCCCCTCTGCTAAGCTGGCATGGCACGGACCTCGTGGCCCAACGACCATGTGCGTGCCTTCTCAGCATGAACCGGTGGCCACGGGAGGGGCCTGCCGTGAAAGTCCCTAAGGGTCTGATCGCACCACTACACTACGAGTGTAGTCGCCAAAAAGCACTACAAAGATGTCAGCGGCCGTGGCGGGACAAAAAAGAAAAATTGGATCCCACCAGGGCAACTTCTTCGGTGCTTTTCCTGAACCCGCGGCGGTTCTTTGTGGGCTGTTGCAGAGGGCAACCAATAGAAATGCTGCAAACGGACGAAAGAGGAAAAAAAAAAAAAAAAAAAATGCTCCCTCTTTTTCGCTGCAGAGATGCCTTCACGGTCCACACAAAAATTGTAGCAACTACTCTTGCACGCTTCGCGGACGTGCTGCCATGACACACACAAATGAAAGTAGGGCAAAATATTTCGGCGGCCGCGACGACTTCGGAAAGTGGTGGGATCCAAAAACTACAGTGTAACTGGGCTGTAGTGTAGTGGTGGGATCAGGCCCTAAGAGCTTGAATTGGACTCTTTGCCACCTGCGGAGAGCCGATTGCGGGTGCAACGAACCGGCGGAGATTACTGCAGGGAGCCGGTTGCCTGTGGAAGGCCGTCCGATCTACAACTTGACCACCCTTGTTTTATTCTTGTTCTTGTTGCGCTGAAACCGTTTCAAACGCCCACTTCTCCACCTCCAATCTCTCCGTTCTGCTCAGCAGGTGACCTTGCCTAAGTCGGGCTCCTCGTGCTTCCCATGTGCACTCGGCCGTGAGGAGTATCCGTCTAGCAAACCATGAGGAACCATTTCCTGACGAGGGATCTAGTCGGGTCTATCTTCTTGAGGGAGGGCCGGGCCCATCGGTGCAATTGTTTTGCTGAACTAACATTCAGCTGGCCATTTTCTCAACCAAGACCCCTCTTTCTATGCAACAGAGCACCACCACTGGGGTCTGGTCCCCAACGATTGCTCGCACTCTACCCCTCGCACCGGTTCCTCTATAGCAGGGCGCCAGAAAACAAGAAGTTGAAACATAACAGGCAATGCCTTTGTGCCTGCAATGTGTCCTTTCGCATTCTCCCCTGTTGGACCTAGGCTGCCTATCCCTAGGAAAATAACTTTATTGATTGCACTCATTGCAGTTATCCTTTTCAGCCTGGTACAGGTTTCGCAACTCTGACTCTTGCGAGCCTCCATGCAGGAATCAAAAACTAGTCGGCAAAAATAGAAAAACTCTTGTGATTTCTTATTGATGTTGCGAGTCGGCATGCTTGCCGACTAGTTTTTCTATTTTTGATTAAACCACCGGTCCTCCCAACGTTGAAAAATCGGGGGGACCGGGAGCAGACACCAATGAGGGCTACCAGTAGGGCCGTGTGGAGAACTAACTCAATGGCAAAAATAAAAAATGGGCCAAATCGGTGCGACAGTCATTTCACTACCTAAATTTATTTATTTATTTATTTATTTATTTATGATATTTTTCCTGAAAAACTCACGACGTAATATATTGGAACACCAATTTTCAGTTTTTGTTTCGAATTGGTCTCAACGTGAAAAATCACCGAAGTTGGGGTACTTTTCCGTTGGTCGATAGCTGGCAGAGTGGCAAAAATGGAAAACGCACCGATTCGGCACGACGATAATTTCACCATCCCAACAATTTTTTTTTTTTTTTTTTTTTTTTTTA